GGAGATCATGAGGCTTGATTCCTGGCGAGCACCACACAAACACTGGGTGTGCCCACCAGGAGCTTGGACTCAGGGCTGCTGCAAAGTGGGTTGGAGCATGGGGAGCTGAGCCCAGGGAATCTGATGGATTCCCAACACCAAAAGGATTCCTTGCACATTCCTCCTTCAGTGTAGCTCCAGCTTCTTGCGGACTGGATGGCTGGAAATACTGGGCATTTCATAACTGGTCCATTTGTTTCTCCTGTGGTCTCCTGACTGGGTCAAAGAACCCCTTGCTTGCTGGTCCCCATGCTCTGCCTGAGGATCTTCACGGGGTAACCTTCAAATTGCCAAGGTCTCCCCCCCACTTTGCTCTTCCACCTCCTCCTCAGAATTGGAAGAACCTGTCTAAGCAGACTGCAACTTGCGAGAGCTGGACCTTCTTTCTGCACCACTGATTTGATGTGACACAAGTCAATTCAGCACATGGACTTCCATTTTTGAAAAAGGCTGCAAATTGCATAAATTTGTTAAAGCTAGGAAAACGTATGCAAAATGTGTCTCTGTACCACCGTTAATGCAAATTTATGCAAATTGCATACCTTTGGGCAAATTGCACGGTGGAAGCCTGAATTTGCACACTTCTTCAATGAGCTGTCAGAAAATTCACAGTACCCAAGGTGGGGTGTGTGCCTGTGAGAAGAGGATGTTTCCATACTTCTCATGTTCACTGCTACAAGAACAACAGCAATTACTTCAGTCTAATGAGTCAGCCCAGATTTGCACAAGTCACAATTCATGCACATTGTGCTAGAGATACGTAGTTATTCTTTATTTTCTGTACTTCCTGATAACTGAAGCTCTCTGGGTCATTCACAGCAAAATCATAAACATAGGTGCAATAATAATAGATGCTAATCAAAATACGAATATAATAAAATACAGCATAAAATTCAAATATACAACAGTTAAAACAGCTAAAACAGTTTCTGTAAAAACCATACCTGTTGAAACAGCTGGCAAGTCCCATCATGACAAATGTTGGCACCAGCTATGCCTCATTGGGTCCAGTATTCCACAGTCTGGGGACTCCTTCCGTTTTGTCTCCCTTAGACCTGGCAGTTGGAGAAAGGCCTCTGCTGTAGATCATTTTGTCTGAGTAACTGAGATTAGGCAGCCATTCAGTCAGGTATTGTGGTCCTAAGCTGTGTAGGGCTGTATTGGTTAAAAGCAGTCTACTGAATAGGGTTCGGAAGCATAGAAGTCTGGTCGTCCAGTGCAGGCAGGCTCAGCTCCGTCTTCACTGTTTGGACCTTCTAGTCCCAGTTATTAATCTGGCTGCCACATTTCACACAAACAGTAGCCTCTGAACCGTCTTCAGAGGCAGCCCCACACAGAGTGCATTGCAGTAATCTGTTTCAGAGAGTACCAGGGTGTAGCTTACTGAAACCAAACTATCCCTGCCCAGGTAGGGTCATAGCTGGGCCATAATGGATAATTTGCCACCAGCCTAAAGTTGTTAGTATCTTAGCTTCAAATGTGCCCAAATGTTTCAAGGAATTTTGAAGAAACTGATCCCTGCCTTATTTGGCCCACTTTGAGCTCAAATGGAACACATTTTCCAGTTGTGTACATATTTAGTCTTGCTAACTCTTCTTGGTACAGTAGTGCTGGAAAAGGTGTGCCAGCCAGAATCTTTCTTTTCAACCTGAGTAATAAGTAAACCTGCTTCTGGCGCTTAACCAGTTAATGCAAACATACTGGGAGAATTGGCAAGCTTATGGTGCTTATTTCAATTTTATTAAAATTATAACTTTAAAAGTTCAAAGCAAAATAAATTTAGATGTTTAACGATGACAACTCCCCTGAAGTTGACTCAGAATCGGTTTATGAGAGTGTTTGGAAAAGACATATCTGTGTTTTGAAAGTGTTCTTTCTTAGTTGTAACAGTGGGACCTGCTTGCTGGTGGTGCCAAGCACAAATGTTTTGTTCCTTTGGGAACAGGCTTCACCCACTCTGTGCTGACCCCATAATACTATCCACAGTGCAGACCCCTGCTTCCCCCCACACTTGCCATTTAACAGACAGCCTCATGAAACATGCTGGCAAAAAAGAAAAGCTAAGACCTAGGTAGCTGTAGCAGGCTTCAACCCCAAATAGCCAGGCCTGGGTCTCTAGCCCTTCAAACTGCTTGCTTTGCTTGGCATTAAAGTCTAGATCAGTGATGGTGAACCGTTTAGAGACTGAGTGCCCAAACTGCAACCCAAAACCCTCTTATTTATCGCAAAGTGCCAACACTGCAATAAAACCTGAATACTGAGGTTTTAGTTTAGAAAAAACAACTCACAGCCTGTCCAAGCAATATCCTTGGCAGCGCAGTGACCATGCAAAATCTCGGATGAGTTGCGGCTCGTGATGTCATTGCCTGGCGCCGCTACTCCTTTCCGAGCATGTGCATGGCCCCTATGTGCACTGTTATCCCATGCTTAGCCACTGGGGCGATGCTGGGGCTACTTGACCTGCCTGCCGACAGAGAGGGCTCTGCGTGCTTGCTGCGGCACATGTGCCATAGGTTCGCCACTGGTCTACATATTTACAAAAGTACATTAGAGCTTTAGTTAGCATTGCTTAGACCATTGCAGACTGCATTCACAAATCTAAGAAGTTTTCCTTTCCTGATGTTGAGATGGCACAAGAACCCTGCACACTGTGCTTGAATGTTCCTTATCATGTATTACTCTTGTGAGCAGGAGGCAGTAACGAGCCTATGCTTTGATGTTCAGGCAGCGAAGAAACTTTGGCCATCCAGGCAGAAATCCTCCTTGTTAGCTCACTATACTTCATTATCTCTTAGCACCTGTGTAAACAATACTACTCTTGCAACCATATATTTTAATTATGTAGAATGCTGTATGCATGTGCTATAAGTTTGTAAACTATAAAAACTAGCCATTTTCTTTGTCCTTTGGTTCAGAGTCTTTTCAAGAGGGATTCCACTGTTTCTATCTGAACCCAGCTGATTGGAGTCCTACCTTGCAGGAGCCCTCGCTGTGCAGTGTAAGAGGGTTGCTGCTAAAAGTCTTGGAAGTCTACCCAGTATGTCTGGATATTATTGCAATAATAAATTGTCTTCTCCTTAGTAAACCTGAAGTTACTGTATCAATCTCTGGAAAACATTTTAAAAAATCAAAATGTTTTGCCCCTGGCCAGGGCAACAGTGACAGTCAACAACCTCATGTGATATTTGTAGGAAATAATCAAGAGAGCTGATTATTCCCAGCAGAGATGCTAGACCAGACTGCTTGATTGGATGTTATGGTCATGGCAATCAACTTGAAATGTGTTGGGACTAAGCAGCTATTATTAAATAATTTTTGGACATATGCTTACAAAACAGCAGGCATTGTGGTTCAAGTAGCTTCATAGCACTTGATGAGCGTTTCATCGAAAAGAATGGGATGACATTCAGGTCTGGCATCAGGAGGTGGCCTATTTAGACACCTACCCAAGCCATACCCCACATTCTCTCAGGAGGCCAGCTGACAAGAACTCCCATAACCAGTGCCTCCTCCTCACTGCTGTAACCTGCTTGATCATCTGCCTGTCTCTCTGGCCCAAGTTGTGGTGGTGGTCAGAAGGAGGTACAACAGGTGCCATTGCCTCCTTGCCCACTGGCTTTCCATCTGCCAAGCAAGCCTGTGGTAGCTGTGAGGAGGAATAGGAGAAGTTGCCAGTTGCCAGTTGCCAGTGGCTTTGGAGGGAGAAGGCCTATGAAGGGCGTTTTGCCCAAGGGCCCTCAGAAACCAGGAGCCGTTGCTGATAAAGAACCTCTGTGCACAGTGGCTGGCTTTGGGTGCCTGGCTGCTGAATGCTGACTGTGCATGCCCAGAATTGTGTTTTAACATTTGGTAATCAGTGAAAGCTTTGATCTGTAACATAGGTGACCTAAGGTTTTCGGCTAGGACAATCAGGTAACTGCCTCATTAAACTTTTCTCTTCCACATGGGCTTACTCTCCTTGCAAGGCTCCGTACCCTTCATTCTGTCTCTGCCAACAGAAAAATTCCTGGCTACAGACTTGTAATGTTCAGCACCAAGAGGATGAAATCTGATCCATGATAACAACCACCAGCCTCCCAGTGGGCTGCTTTATTATCTTGTGATGCTGCAGAGATACTTTACTTCCCCCAGAGTGCTTGCTGCATTGATAAACAGGCAAGCCCAAAACAACTTTTCCTCTACGTCTCCTTACATTAGACACATTTTGTGGGGTTCCTGGAGTAGTCAGATGCCCAGAATTAAGACAGCCGTGGAAGGGCTGTAGAAAGTGGAACAAATCTGTTAGAACAGAGAGCAGAACATGACTAGGACAATTACAGGTTGGGATCTGGTGCAGGGAATAAGGCACTACCAAATTTTCATGGGGCTAGCTTTTGTAGCAACATTTTCATGTGGCTTATTTTTGCAGTTGTTTTATGGAACTCATATGCAAAGTTTTCTCTGAAGTTCATAGATGAAAAGGCCAGTACTTCTCTAGCAGTGAAAATGACCTTATGCAGTGAAATTGTGACATTGTTCTGTCATGCTGCAAAGTGCCAAGTGATCACATTGTGCAAGGCGTTGCAGTTGCCTCTTTTCAGAAGGCAAACAATTTTGTCTTTTTTCCCCCTCCTTCTTGAGGTGTGTGAAAAGTTTCACAAAAAGACAGCCCTTTTTTCTGCTCAGCACTGGTAGGAATTCAGGGGTGTCAACAGATCCTGGGTGTTTGAATGTAACCCTAATTTGTGCCAAAGGGATCCAGTGTTAATACCTTTGGGTGAAACTAAACCTGGAGAAAATTCCTATGCACAAATCCATCTTTGACAGCATGTGTCTTCAGATGGATCCTAACAGACCTTTTAAAATTTGACCATGGGTCACTTCCAATGCTGAGCATTCTTCTTCCAAATATTTGCAACAACCCTTAACCTGGACAGTCATAGTTTAACCCTGCTGACCATTTCTGTCTCTTTGCTTTGCAGGTCGGATGGGGAAAATTCAAGAACTGTCAGGTCAGTCACATTTAAAGATAAATACAAATAAAAACTTTCTTCCTGTCTTTTGCCCGTTCCTTATAGTTCTTGAACTTAGATTCCCCACTCTGCCCCATCCCATGTCCCCCACATTGCCCCCTTCCCACGCAGAGCCCTGCGTGGTTTGTTATGTGTGGTCTTCCCTGGATGCATTTCTGAGTTTGAGTCTTCTCTTCCATGAAGTAGTTAATCCTGGCATGTGGCTTGGATTGCATGTAAGATGTGGCAGCTGGTGGGCAGGATAGAGATGTGTGCCATTGCCGGGGGGTGGGGTTGGGGTTGTTTGAGGGTTGTGGTTCCTGAGAACAGGGCTGGGGGGGGGGGGGGGTGTATGAAATGGGATAGTTAAGAAAGAGTGTGTTCATTTAAGTCAAATTCCTGTAGTTTTAATCAACAGAGTATGGATACTTACCTAGCCTAGATGATGATGGTGATTGCAATAACAGACAACACTGTACTCCAAAATGCATGTTCATCCCATATCTGTTTGTGCCGTATGTTGAACAAATAATGAAGCATGGTCTCTGCTGACAGGCTTAGGATCTGCAGTAGACATAACATGTGTTATGGATCCTTCTCTCCCAGCACCAGCTGGGACTGCCACTATCAGCATCATTGCCATGGTTCTGCTGTAGGAGGGAGAAAGCCATCAAGCAGCGAGTCCTGGGCTATCTGGCCCAATGCTGCAGCAAGGAGGATGGGCAGTGATGGTGGCCATTGGTCCTCCTTGCCTGTCTGTCACCTGCCACATTCCCTTCCTCCTTATTTAGTTTTTGCTCTGGTTTGCTTGACTGCCTCTTCCCATGTGCCCCTTGCAGCTGCCAGGCTACGCAAGCACTGAACAATATGAGGAATGAGAGGAAAGCAGAAGGCTTTCAGATTACTGCTTCAGATTATCATCCTAGGCTAAACAAGCCATAATCTCTTCATACAGGCTTGGAATCTGAAATAAACATGATATGCATGGACCGGTGCATGCCAGGGTGCCACTGCCCTAATTGCTTGCTGGGGCGCAGCTTGCTTGAATGCAGGCAGGCAGCCTAACTTGTTTGAGGGTGAAACAACCCTCGAGGAACCAAAGGGCTGTTGCTGGGTTGTTTCAGGATTGTTTCCCCCTCAGATAAGCTAGGCTGCCTGGGTTTGGATGACATGACAAGCCACACCTTGGTGAGTGATAGTGCAATTGCACCCAGCATGCATGCACACAGCGTAAATAAGCCACCATGACTACTTTAACCTGCAGTGATGGTACAAATTGGCCTATTGAGTGGAATGGTCAGGGCTGTGAGGGGTGCAAGCAGACCTGATTCCAGTGGTTGGCTACAGGACGTTTGTTTGGTGAGGCCCCCGGCAGGTGCCCATCTGTGTCAGTCAGTGAAGGAAGACTGGATTATGGCTGGTGAGCTGTGTTTAGTGAGTTACAAGTTGTGCTTGGCTGGGACTGCTCCTTGGGAGGAGTCCAATAAGGACTGTTCCTTGGGAGCAGGTGAGGGAATCTTCAATCCAATTTGATCTAACCCTGATGAAAAGTGATGCATGGAATGAAGAGAATTAGAGTCATTGACAGGCATGTGGTAGAAAGCACTTATTCATTCTAGCCCTACTTCTGTACATGTGGGTGGGGAGCAGTTAGTGGTTATCACTGGACAAAATAAAACCAATAATTTAGGGACACATAACCCTCACCTTCAGTTAACACTTGAAGGTTGTTCTGTGGGTTCCAGGGCCATTTTGTTTATGATATTTCTACCCCATCTTTTCTCCAAGGAACTCAGGCTTGGCACCCATAAATTGCTTCCCAGTTTTCATTGGTCTGTGTCCAATCTAACCTTTGTATGACAGCAGCCATAAGGCCCCATTTTAATAGGTTAAGCTCTTTTTTTGCCTTGGATTGGTTGCTGCTGATAAGGGCACATTCATTTGGAAACCAAATGTGTCAATCATGTTACATTAGGCATGGAATCCCTTCTTGGCCACACCTGTATTAGCAGCAAGCACTGTAGTGAAAATAAGAGGACTGACTATGGTAACTACTGGGTACTACAGACCAAGATAGCCGGAGGAGGGGTAAAAAGGGAGCACTACATAAAGTGTAGGAAAGTAGTGGTCTGTAAGCATTTCTTCTTAGCCTCTCTCTGTTTGCCTTTTTAGGGACATGGGATTCTTTTGTACCGTAAGGAGTTTTAGTAACATTATCCCTCTGGCTTTCAGATTATGGTTCTATTTTCCCAGCTGCAGTTTGGTTTTATAAGAACATTTTTGTGTTGGCTAGTGCTGACATAAAATGATATTCTTTTAGGAGGTTTGCAGGTGGAGCTTTGCATGTTGGTGACAATTTTAGTTGCCAGTTTTATGAGTTGCTCATATGACTGGGGAGAGACTGTTTTTGCCACCAGGATAGAAATTTAAAGGGCCTTCTTCCCATATTGAAAACACCAGGATCTGATTCTTCACTTTGCTTCTGACTTAGTCATGCAGACAACTTTGTTATTCTATTGCTTAGTCTCTGCTCTTGGGAGTGGGAAAGCCTTTACAGATCTAGGGTGCTTCCAAATGGAGGCGTGCCATTCAGAAGAGACTGTGTAGCTATTCCTCTATTCCATCTGAAACACTTTTTTCCTGGTAAAAATAAAGGTGAAAGATGCAGTGGGAAAATGCTGGAGGTTTGTAGATGGAAGATGATGACAGCTGGATCCCCTGTAAAGTTCTGTGAATGGGATAGAGCAGTCATACAATAATAGCCTAGCCTTCCCTGGACTGTTAAGAACTTTGGGGCAAGGCTGTTCTTCATTATGCATCGGTGCCACATTTCTCACAAGATCTGAGCTCCCTGATTGATGTGAATCTCCAAGTACTTGAATGACCAATTGAATTAGTGAATAAGTCAGTAGGCTTTGAGCTGTTATCTTATGAAAGAAATACATGTCTGAGAAATCTAGTGCCCAGATATGTCGGCTATATACACACAGAAGAGTGTGTGTGCATTTGTGGTAGGCATGCTTGCATAAGAGTGGCAGCTAATTTCCTGATTAGCTAGGGGAAATATTTCTTTCTCTTACAAACTTAGTAAAGGGAATTAAAGCCAGGTAAAGAGGTTATAGCTTAGGCTCTTGTATTTTATTGTCATATTTTAGAAGGCACTCTGTATATGTGTGAGTTTCCTTTGCCAAACAGGATTTGGAATTGAATGAGGTGGGAAAGAGTTGTGGATGTGAAGATGGTGGAGGCAGCTTCCTCTGATTCTGGCAGGAGAGCATCTCCCTCCTCCACTCCTAAACCCTATAGGCTTTCAGAAGTAAGAGCTAGCAGCTGAAAAATCTGATTTGTTTTAATTATATTTGGGGTAGCTCAAATATGTTGTTCTTCCCTTGAGAAGGGTCAATATGTCAATGTTTAGGAATTCCTAGTAAAAATAAAAGGTGTGTTAAGTTTTTAGCCTTTTCTCCAGGCAGGAGATGCTCAGTTTAAGAAATCTGCTCAGAGCAATCTTCCCAACTTGGTAGCCTCCAGATGTTTTGGACATCAACTCCCATCACTCCCAGCTAGCATGGTCAGTGGTCAGCAATGCTGGGAGTTGTCATTCAAAACATCTGGAAGATGCCCTGCTGAGTCCTTGGAAATGGTAATCTGGGGGCAAGGCTTAATTGCAGTTCCTCAGATTGTTTGTTGGGGGGCTGGGGTGAGAATCAAGACAGATCAAAATGCTGTAAGATGGGCTTGCAGAGACTGCAAGAGGCTGTGCTTTTGCGAGCTTATCAAGGATCTCCTGAGCTGGCAGTGCTTTCTTTGCCAGCTCATCTGGAACCGTGGCAGCCTCTCTCCCAGCCACCTGCTTATATATATTAAGTTGCTTCCAGATGGAGGCTTTTGCACGTGACAGGTATGCTGAGTCAGTTCACTTAACACCCGCAGTCCCTATGTAGATTCTGTGCTGATCACAGCTTGTTTAGATGGACTAGCAGGATCTCCCCCTGCAGTGCAGCTCTGGTAGCACCAACCTCTTTGCTCCACACTGACCAAAAGTGCTCCTGTGAGACCCTTGCCTCTCCTTTTCATGAAAAGAGCTGGCCCAGAACCAAACTAGAAATTCCAGATGGCATCCCCCCACTTGCCCCATCCACTGGGAAGTTATCATGCACCAGCCCTATAGAACAGGAGCACAACAGTGGTCACACACAGTGGCTCATTATTTTAGTATGGCAGGTTTCCCCAGACTGGCTCCCTTCAGCTGGTTTGACCTGTAACTCCCATCAGCCCCAACTCTGAGAACTGCATTACACCTGCCTGCATTCCTGGCCATTGACCATGTTGACTAGAGCAGACTGGAGGTATGTTTAGAATCTCTTTCCTAGGAGATAGGGGTTTGTGTGTATCTATGTTATTTTACTTACATCCCACCTTTTTTTTCATATAAAGAATGCAGAACAACCTGTGATGCAGGTAAGAGTCATTGACTGGCCCAAGATCACCAAGGTCAAGGCCAAATCTCTAGCCATTATGTTGCCCTGTCGATTCCAATAGGGATGATTCTAATAGTTCTATCTTATTAATTGCATCACCTGACCCAAAAGCAATCATGTTTACTTAGGGGCAACTTCTTTGGTGAACTTGAGAGGAGAAAAGTAGCTTGGTGATGTCACAAGGGATCAGTCAGTTGTACTTTCTATTTTATTTTCATTTTTTAAGTTTATAATGTTCAATTTTAAATGTTTTAATATTGTATTTCAGAATTTTATATTATGTAAGCCATCCTGAGTGCTTCCGCAGAAGGACAGGATATAAATGCTTGTCATTAAATAAATAAATAAATAAATAAATAAATTGGCCCACCCTACAAACTTGCACGACCCATTTTTCCCTCCCCCAGGGCTCAAACTCAGCTCTAAAGCGAAAAGGCTCTTTCCGTAGCTCTTCCAGAATGGACCACTGCTCTGAAATGTTGGCCCTGACTGCATGAACAAGCCAGCATGCCAGTTACT